CGTGCTACACCGCCATGACTTTTTATGCAAGCTGTAGAAAAGGTGCAGAATCAACTCATGACTTTTATATTAGCTTCATAATCAGTATAGAAAATAAACTTATCCAATGTAGAAAGTTAAAAAGAAAGAAAGAAAAAAAGCAGAATTACAATTAAATCTTACAAAAAGAAAATGATTACTAAAAAGTCCCAATAACAGTCTGAACAGTTTGTAATGATAAATTTTAAAATTAAGAATGACAATCTGTATGACTTGTTTTTTATTTTTTATTTTTAGAACCTCATTGTAATTTTTCCAATTAAATTCACTTAAACTGTTTGCATTGGTTGCTTAAACAATCACGTGGAGTTGTCCCAAATTGTTTTAGTGGTAACACTATTTGTTATGTTCGGATAAAATCTCAGACTTGAATCTCTTGTTGACATGTCTATGTGTATTTTGTTGTATAAAATTACAAAACCAAAAAACATGTAGAGTTTTTTTTTTTTGACACTGATTAAATTTATAACTGGTATAGGAAATCAACGTGATGGCCACTTAATTGGAATTTTATTATTGCAAATGCTCTTTACATTCATTTTTTGGGGGAAAAAAAGGGTATTAAATGTGGTATAAAAAACGCTGCCTTTACTAATACGCCCAGTTTCTTGTATTTATTCCTCCATTAAATGGAGGATTCCGTGGCTTTTTAGGAAAATTACTGTAAGGTATCAATAAAAAATATAATCAATAAAAGCTAAAGTAGAATATGGAACTTCTTGTCATTTTTTTGCATTTACATTTGTCATTCGTTTATGATGAAATTATTCTTTAGTAATTGCATCCCTTATTTAGACCTTATAATAATTTTCTCAACTTTTTTTCTATTTAAAATTAGAGGGAAAAAACAGAAAAATGATACTTAAATAATAAATCCTCAAATAGTCAACTAAATACGTAAAATTTCAGTTTAAATACAGATGACCGAATTGATATTTGCAAATAAGATAAAGTAGAATATGGAACTTCATGTCATTTTTTGCATTTACATTTGTCATTCATTTATGATGAAATTATTTTTTAGTAATTGCATCCCTTATTTAGACCTCATGATAATGACGATATTACCCAATTTAATCATTTCTATAAATTTGCAAATCTCAATTTGACCACTTATACCTAAACTAGAATTTTACTTATTTAGGTGATATTTAAGAATCTTAAAATTTACGAATTATTTTACTTAAAATTAAAATAAATAAAACGTTGGGGGGAGTATATCATATACTCTTCCAGTCCTTAATATATGACTTAATTATTGAGTTAATTTTGGTCATAAATATAATATCTATTTCTTACATTTATCAATTTTTTCTAAATTACCGCTATGAATACTCCTCCAACCATAATTAAGTAGAAGAGGGAGAGAGAACATTAAAGAAGATGATTATGATATTTTAGAAAAAATATATTATATTTTTATAATTAACTAACTTATCTAACTTTTTAAATCTAATCAAATTAGTTAAATAAATTTTATATTAAAAATAAGAGGTTTTTTTTTTCCTTCGCTTCATGGGAATGTACCCCCGCCCTCCCCCAAAAAAAAAAAAAAAAAAAAAAAAACCTCTCTTCTCTCCTCTTCTCTTCTCTTCCTTTCCTTTCCTTCCTGGGTTTTGTTAGTGCCCCCCCAGCGTAGGGTTAGCGTAGGCCAATGGATCTTGCCTTCTCTTTTGGTTGCGTGAAGGGAGGGTCTCCCGAATTACTAACCTCCGCTTTTCCCAAACACTAAATTAAATTTAATTATTTAATTATTTAATTATTCGTTTTTTAAGGCCAAAAGAAAAAAAGAAAAGGGTTATAGGGGCAGGAATTTTGGTCCTCTCCTACAAAAAAGGGTGTGGCTTTCGGTGCCATCATGGCCATTACTCACTTCCTACACATATTCGTTGACCTATTATTTCCCCCTCATTTTCTCTCCCGATCCTTATTATTTATTAGTACCTTTTTTTTTTTTACTATTTATGATTTCATTTTTTTGGGACTGAAATATGATTTCAAATTTAATCTTCTCTCCAAAATTAAAAATATATAAGTAATAAGAAATAAGAATCGAAGACTTAGAGGAACTTGTGATAAGTGAAAAGGTAAGTTGAAACTTTTGGTAACAAAGCCTCCTTCTCCACTCACTCACTAGATAGCGATGGTATGTGATCCTCTCAATTATTATTTATAAATTAAATATATAAATTGCACTCTTAAGAAGAGACATATAATATATATATATTCCATATTTAGATATAAAACCTACTATTTTACTCTCTTCTATTTCTTTTAAAATGCATTTTCTGCTTTCATCTTGTAAATATATTAAAGAAAAATGTGGGGCCTGCATTAAATGAAATGGATGTGAAACCTGCAACATAAAAAGTTGCAGATGTGGGACCAGGCTAAAAAAATACGTACAGGATTTATAATGAAATTATAAATTTGGTTCACACAATTTGTAAAGGGAAAACATAGACAAGCAACTTACTGAAATGTTTTTTGCGGTTTTAATTTTTAATTTACACATAATAACAAGTAATAAATATTTTTTTGACCAGAATACAACAAGCAATGAATAAAATACTATATTGCTTATATTTTAAATATGTACAGGGTGGGAAATTGTAGAATAAAACAAGTTCTAATAAAATAATTTTCCCGTATTTACATTTTACATATGATATGCATCGTTTAGGTTCTTAGTATGCATGTAGTAACAAATTATAACGTTGAACAAAAAAATGTTGTTGTTTACATTCTTTTGTATAAGTAAATTGTTGTTTATTTCCATATTTCAATCACTAATACACATCACACAAAATAAAAATATAGTTATTTATATTTTTATTACCTTAGAACAAAAGATTATAGTTATTTTTCATTGTTATAGTTGTCCAAAAAATCTCCATGTATTTATAATTACTTATATGATTCTATTTCACACAAATCTCTGTGTTATATATATATTGTTATTTTTGGTAAAATTATTAAATTAATATTTACGTATTTAATTTTTGTTATCTGCTTGACTCATGAAATGGGGGAGAAAATTTTTTTATGAGTTTGATTTTAAAAAAACTGGAAAGTGAAATTAAAATTTTTTTAAATTAATTTTGTTTTGATCTTTTTTTCCTAATTTTATTTTTTTACAAAAATTTTATGATATCACTTGTCATTTTTAAAAATAGACTCATTAGAATCTGTTATGATGTTATCTCATTCCTTAATTTTCCTTCAATTAAATAAAAGGTTTGATATTCTGAGCTGTGAAATCTAGTTTTCACAGTTATTAATAAAGACTAAGGTTTCCATTGCAATTAATTTGAATAGTATAGTGACTAAAATACCCTTTCAAGTGGCTTTGAATGAATTATAAATGCAAAAGATCTTCCATTAAAATATTTGAATCCCAGAAGATATCTACAGGAAGCCTTGTAAATCATGAAAATCATCACGTAGTTGGCAAAAAGAAATATTAAAAAAACCTCGGGGGTTAGGTGGACTGACTGGGGTCGTCCTAGATTAACCATAGATCTCGGGTTCGAGACGTGAGAACGCAGCACTCTAAAGGGTTAGGGGGCGCCATTCGTATGGATCCTTGCAAGCCCCCGAATCCGGATTAGTCTGGAGACGTTGTCACGGCTGAAAGACGCCTATTTCCCTGAGATACCGGATGGAGTAATCCGAAAAAAAAAGAAATATAAAAAATAACTTCTTGTGTAAATTAAGGCAAACCAACGAAAACCTCTTGAAAATAAGGAATCTTGTAAATGTTTTATCCAAATGCTTTAAACTCTGCGCAGGACTTGACTTGTAAATCAAAGAATACTGGTTATAAATTACTAACTCCGATGCTTAATATATAATCTAATTAATTAATTTGAAAAGATTAAAAAAATTATATTATATATCGCATGATTTTTATAAAATATTTATGTGTACTATTAGATTATATATTACTCTTTCGGTCCTTAATATAAAACCCATTTAACTAATTTGATTAAATTAAAAAAGTTACGTAAGTTAGTTAATTATAAGAAAAGTGACATATTTTTCTTAAAACATTATAATAATCATTTTTAATACTCTATCTCCCTCTTCTACTTGATTATGGTTGAGAGAGTATCCATAGGGGTAATTTAGAAAAAATTGATAAATATGAATAATGAGTCTTATATTTAGGATCAAAACCAACTCAAGAATTATGTCCTATATTAAGGATCAAAGAAGTAGTTTATAAATTAGGCAAATTAGTTTGAAAAAAACATGATAGGTGCAAATATTTTAAAGTAATTTTTTAATTTTTTTTAATCTCTCCAACTTAATTAACTGGGATTTATATTAAGAACAATTATAATAATTAAAAGCTCATATAAATTATGCAAAGGTTTCTGTAAATTATTTTAGGATTCTTGTGCTTTCATTTCTGCAAAACATCAATGATGGAAGCTTGAGAATTAAGGTTTTCTTTTAGTAAATTATACTTACAACATTTTGATCGTTTTACGATTAAGATTGATTGCAAATAACAAATAAGAAAACTCTATCCTTGTTAATAATTATGAAATTTTGAAGGACATAATAATATTCCCTAAAAATAAATATGTTTATCATTTAATCCTTTTGAGCAATTTTCCAAAAATCAATTTGAAATGAGGTCAGAAGGTCGACCAAAGGAACCCTTTGTGGCCCCTCGTATACGCTGTGGTCCCCATCATCTTCCCCCCCACGTTCTCCTCCTCACGATGCGCTTCTCTATTTTATCCCACGTGTCTCCCTATCTTCATCTGGATCTTCCATCACTCTCCATTTCCGTTTTCCTTTTTCATCCGACGACCTTCATTTCACTCATTCTTCAAACCACCACATGTGATCTTTACTCCCACCTCACCTTTCAGTAAATTAACTTCCCCTCATTGACCGTAGACCAAAAGGCAAAGACGATGCAGCAGAATATTATTTATCAGAAAAATTAAAATAGGGAAAAAAAATAAATGTGAACTTCTCTGACGTCACTACCTTTGACTCTCTCTTTCTCTCTCCCCTCTTTATACACTCCCTCTCTTCTCCGCTCCACTTCCTACCTCTCTCTTTTTCTCTCTTTCTCTCTCTCTGTTTCCGTTGCCTTCTCTCGCTGCCTCGGAGGCCAAACGACGGTCACCATGGTCAGGGACGATCTATACATCACGATTCCAAGCTTCTTCCGGTGTCCTATTTCCCTCGATGTCATGAAATCTCCGGTAAGTCTCTGCACCGGCGTTACCTACGACCGTTCCAGCATCCAACGCTGGCTCGACAACGGCAACAACACCTGCCCGGCCACCATGCAGGTTTTGCAAACCAAAGAATTTGTTCCTAACCGTACTCTACAGAGGCTTATCCAGATCTGGTCTGACTCGGTTCGCAACCGAGTCGAATCTGCCGATTCTCCGGCCACCAGAACAGTCCCCTCCCCGGCTCAGGTCGCCGACTCTATGAAATACTTGGACGGCCAAGGCGAGGACTGTCTCAATTCCTTAACAAGAATTGTATATTTCGCCGAAGAATCTGAAGAGAATCGGGAGTTCCTCTCGAAGTTAGAGGGGTTCGTCCCTTTACTCGTTGATTTACTCGACAATGTCAATGGCGTCGTTGAAATGCTCGAGAGAGTCGTTAATGCTTTGGATACGATTCTGGATAAAATCAAAGATCGTGAGCAGTTGAAGAAATTGATGTTGAAGAACCACGACAATTGCCTAGCTTCTCTGCTCCTTCTTCTGCAACAAGGCAGCGCCGGCTCGAAAATCGGATCGGCGAGGATTTTGAAGGTCATCGCGGTGGATGCCGAGTCCAAAGTCATGATCGCCGAAAAGGAAGGTATAATGTCCGAATTGGTCAAATCAATCTCTCCAGACAAGGACCCCGCGCTAATCGAAAACAGCCTGCTGTGTTTGATCGCAATCTCGTCGCCGAAACGGAACAAGTTGAAATTGGTCCATCTCGGAGCTATCAAGACACTTTCGCAATTACTTTCCGGCTCAAATTCGAGCACTTCCGTAACGGAAAACGTCCTGAAACTGCTGGAAACGGTATCGTCAACCAAAGAAGGTAGGTCAGAGATTAGCGAGGACCCGGCTTGTTTACCGGCTGTATTGCAAAAGGTGATGAAGGTATCGATCACCTCGACGGAGCACGCGGTGATGATACTGTGGACTGTGTGTTATCTGTTTCGCGATCAGAAGGCGCAGGAAGTGGTGGCAATGGCCAACGGCTTCACCAAATTTCTGCTCCTGATGCAGAGCAATTGTTCGCCGGCGGTTCGTCAAATGTCCGCCGATTTGCTAAAGATTTTTCGGGTCAACTCGAAATCATGCCTCTCTTGTTACGATACTAAGACCACCCACATCATGCCCTTCTGATACTGGCCGTTTTTTCATCTTCTCCTTGGCCCGGGGGGAAGATTCAGACAGATAAAAAAGAAGTTTGTAAATCAAAGAAAAATTTTGTTAGTAAATGGAATATAGAAAAAGAGAAATTCATTTGATGCCAGTCATGTTACGTTATCTTCTGTTTCAATTTCTGTTTCGCACGGTGAACGAATTCAAGTCACTGTTGCTGTTTAGAATCACAGTAAAAAGGAATGTTTCTTTACCATATACAAAAACCACGACAAATCTGATGAAAAGATTTAAGCGTGAAAGATTCTTAATTAGCTTTCCTTCTTGAAGTCCTTCTTTTAAAACCCCAAAGGCAGGACTCTTTGGGCTGAGCATTAGGTTGATAGTTGATGAACATGGACAAGGAACACTGCACGTAAGGGGCAGGAAATGAAAATTGTCAGGTTTCTGTCTACCAGATTAGAGTTTGGACGCATGAGGTTATTAAGGTTGTCGCTTTTACGATGGAGTCTATGGACTATACAGGTGGCAGTGGAGTGGAGTGAAAACAATGAAAGGTAGCATGCTTTGAGGATTGAAGATCGAGATTAAAACCCAGATTCTCGGAACTACGCAGATAAGAGGAAGGAGGGGGAGATTCAGAAAGGAAGCGACTTAGGACTGGGCTTTATTGCAGGAGAAGCAAGGAAGGGAGAGAGAGAGAGAGTCAGAGAGAGGGGGTGCCGCAAAATGCTGAAAGGGGTATGCTTTGCTGACTCTGATAATGCGGCCTTTGTGATTAATGATTAATTAATTAAGGTGTGTTTGTTCGTTTGCAAGAAAAGAATGAAAAGGATGGGAATCTAAATGGAAAAAGAAATGTGTAAAAAGGATGGAGATGGAGGGGGGGGGGGGAGAGAAAGGAACCAAAAGAAGAAAAGCATTAATTAAAATGAAAGGTTTGACCACTCCAATCCCTACGGCACACATGAAAACTGGACAAAAACACTTTGCTAATTAGCACCCTTAATAATGCCCACTTCCCCCGCCCTCCTCCTCCTACCATCCTCAATATCTTCATTAATTAATCCAAAAAGCAATCCATAATCTCCCCCAAAAAAACAACAACAACAAGCGTATCATTATTCACCTCACACCCCATCCATGACCTCCAAAAGAAACAAAAACCTATTCAAACTTTGTTTGTCTGGTAGTATTGTTGGATATTGTGGTGCGTCTGTATGTGTGGATTGGCTGGAACTATATGGGGGAAAAAAAAAAAGGTTGGTTCTCCAACCACTATCCCCCCTTTTTGATGTTCTCGTCTCTTTTATGATACATGGGAAAAAGAAAAGAAAAGAAATATGGATACAAAGGGCTCGTTTATAACAGTTTGTAAGTAGTTTATAAATAACTTTTTAATAGTAGTTTATAAAATACGAGACAAGTATATGAAAAGAGTTTTATCTTGATTGATGTAAAACAGGTTTATAAAAAATTTCTACCACTCTGTCAAACGTGGCCAAAATTGATGTAGAGGGAGAGCATGGGGGATTAGTATAGTACTACGTAGGTATTGGATCATGTGTGGTCACTGGTCACTAATGAGTGGAAAGTGCCATTATTCGATGGGGCAGGATGTTGGGGGACCATTGACAAGTCACGTGAGGGTTGCGAGGAAGAGCACGAATCCTATCCGGGGCCGATCCCCCAATTGGCTGAATCCTCCCTAATGCGACTTGTCGTTTTTGGGTTACACTTGACCTCTGGATCCTGCAGGGGGGTTCTCACTTCTCCGACTCTCAGTGCCTTCCTTCCACACTCTTTTTCTGAGGCTGGGGATGCTGACCATCTTTTCTCTGTCCTTTTCATTTCTTGGAGGCCAAAAACAAAAAAATCTCCCTGATTCTTTTTGGGTTTTAATAAAATGTGCTCAAAACTAGACTTAAGAATTATTGATTTATGTATAACTAAAATATATTTTAATAAAATAACATTAATACACACTTTTATATATAATTAAATTATACATAAGTGATTAAAACACAAATATGATTAAATGTTTTTTTTTTTGAATTTTTCAACTCAAAATACAACCTCGTCAATCGGCTCAAAATTCTTGATCCACTTGGAGAAGAGACTGATTTGCCCGTATTCATTGGCCTGATTGGTTGACCCGAATTAGGTTTAGGACCTCTCTTTATCCCTTCTTTTTTGAAAAAAAAACGACCATCAAAATCATGCTGTTTAAAATGGTGGTTAAATTTAATTAAAAATAATAAATATGTAAGATATATATGTTTCCAATTATATCTTTATTTGTATAGAGAGTACATGAGATATAATGAGATATAATGAGTAAAAATTTATTGTGAACGGATAATAAATAACATATTTAGAAAGAGTAAAAATAAAAAAGACTAGTTTAAAATATTTTAGACCAAAACAGAAATATTTGTTTCTTTTATATAAAGGAGCAGGGTTAAGATAATAAGAGGGTGTTTGGATAGCATGAGAAGTGTTTTTAAAAGGTACTTCTGTACAAATCGAGATAAATTCTTTTATAAATTTACTTTTTATGTCATAAAATTATTCTAAAATTATAATTTGGTTTCTATAAATGCTTTTTAAAGGGATTAATAAATAGGTGTAGAAGTAAGGTGGCATGATTGATGAGACAAGGGCGTGGTGTGTTTTGACTCAAGACCCAGCGAGCATAAGCTGTCCAATACAACACAGTGAGAGTTGAATATGGAGCCAAGTGGGGTGCTCATTCAAAGATCTGTCGTTGAACAGAGCGGGGCGAGTGGGCCCACATGGAGTCCCACTGAAATGAACGGGAGAAAGCCCCACAATAAAAAAAAAAGAAGGTAAAAGGAGAGTAAAATAATGAAAAGGGCTGTCAATTATTTTTGAAGGGGGGAATTTTAGGTGAAATAAATAGAGAATCTGGGTGTGCATGGGCAGGACAGGGTTGGATTGTGGAGGACAATAATGTGAAAGTGGGGTAGGCCTCAGGCATTTTGTTCAAGAAATGACTGCTTGTCCAATCTCACTTTGCAAATCACTCCCCTATCTCTAATTTTATCTCCTTTTGCTTGAATAAAAATAAATAAATAAACATTATACAAGCATTTATAAATGTATTATGATTACTTTTTAAAAATAAATATATTATTTTTTCTTAAGATATTTGAAAATTTTATTATTTATAGATACTTAGATTGATTTAAACTCAAAATTCTAAGTACAATCCATGTTTAGAGGGTTTTTAGATAGTATGAAAAAGTACTTTTTATTTTTTTTTATAAATCGAGATAATTTTTTAATATTTTTACTTCGTATATCATAAAGTATTTTTAAAATTATGGTTTTGATTCTGTTCAAACATCTTTTTAGTTGTGAATAACATATATTTAATTATATACAAAAATATTCAAAACAAAAAAATATTTATGCATAGTTGGAAAGGGTTACACTCGTTTAAATTTAGATGTTGCCGGCCAACAAAATTATCAACCAAGTATTTTGAGCAAATTTTGTATTTTTGTTACATGAATAACACCTGAACATGAACTTGTTATCTAAATCTCAAATCATCTCACTTTAATCATATAAATTAGATGCGGCTAATTTTGTTGAAGACTTGAAGCAGTCCATAGCGGAAAGCAAGAGTAGAAAGGGAAAGGAGAGGCTCTCCGAATTTAGTAAAATGATGACTCAGACGCGCATCTCTAATCTCCATCTCTAATTAATTAATTAATTCTTAATTATTCTCTGGCCTGAGGTTTTGGATATAATTAATTAATTAGTTCAACAAAATACTCCCCACGCACCTCATTGGTTAGACATTACCCATTTCTCTTCCCTCCGTACACTATACACGATAACTTTATCTTTCCTCTCATATAAATATATACTCCTCCGGTCTTTAATATAAGACCGAATTCTTGAGTTGGTTTTGATCCTAAATATAAGATCTATTTATTATATTTATCAATTTTCTCTAAATTACCCCTATAGATACTCTCTCAACCATAATCAAGTAAAAGAGGGAGATGAGGTATTAAGAAAGATGATTGTGGTGTTTTAAGAAAAATGTGTTATATTTCTTATAATTAACTAACTTACCTAACTTCCTTAATCTAATCAAATTAGTTAAATGGGTCTTATATTAAGGACCGGAGGAGTATATGATTAATATTAACAAATACTATCATACATATGCATATGATATACACAAAGCACTACGTGCACGTATGATTATATTGATCATGATTATAATTATGATCATATCACTTCGTATCTAAGGTTTCATGCTTAATTAATTACCGTCTATGTGGATACTATTGAAATGAAATGCTATCTTTACTTTTCCTCCTCGTTACTCAAAATCAGTCCAAACATCAATGAGTATATAAATACTCATAGTTATAAATTATAATTATAATTATATATTATAATAATTCGTAATCATCAGTGGATTAATTATACCACCAGCCGCACTAATTTTGTACCTGCCCACTTAATTAGCTGATCTGCCTTCAACATTATCCATTCTTTATTTTTATTTTGATTTGATGTATTCATTTACCATGATGTCCGTCAATGAATGATTAACCTGTATCATATCATGTACTAAAGATTATTTATTTATTTATTAGTAAGCAGTTTCACCCTCATAAAAAGAAAAAACACAGGTTCGAATCTCTAAAAACATACTTGTTAGGAGGGCTTTAACCTTAACACTCTAAATTTAACAGAAATTAGTCTTAAGTTTAAAGTGACTAGAGAATACTTTGAATTATAGAAAAGAAAAAGATTATTTATTTGTTTATTTTGAATCTGATTTTTGCTTTAATCCTTTCTGCAAGCCTAACATGCATCTCAACCTGGCGTCCTGAGCATCCGAAGTTTTGGTAATTAACTGCTCATTATTGTTGGGCTGCTCTTCCCGTGAGGCCCACTAACCATGATATCATGGGCTTGGGCCTCAAGTGGTTAGCCCGTTATCATTCTTTGACCCCCTATTAAGTTCATCGTCATCGCAGTCTGTCATTTCAGGGCTTTTCCCCAACAAAAAGGTTTTTTTTTTGGATTACTCCATCCGGTATCCCAGGAAAATAGGCGTCTTTCAGCCGTGACAACGTCCCCAGACTAATCCGGATTCAGGGGCTTGCAAGGAT